ACAACAGGCACACGCAACAGGGTACAACCTCGCCGTTAGTCACGGCAACAGAAATCAGCACGTCATCGCACCTCAATGCGTTAAGAAAAAAACACGGCAACAGGACAGACAACAAAACACAGAAAACACAAAATCACAAATCTAACCTACGACGCGACCAGACCGAGGCAAGCCCCAGGCTTCGCCCTCAGCCTAATGTACAGTCCACTGAGAATCTGCAGGTTTCATTACATACTTACCCCCCCGGGGAGAGCGGACCTCCGCGCCCACACTTCACTTTCTGGTAATGAACCAGCAGATGAAGGGAGTTATGGAGATAACACTCTTGCCTGAAGAGGAAAACCTGAGATACTCACGGGGTAACCTATGCCCCTGACCTGTGCTATAGCAGTAAGGTCAGGAGGAGGCAACCTCAAAGTGTCAGTTGGTCTCGATTGCATCAAGAACCACAGATAACCTGGTTTTTTACTATTACGCAATCGATCACTTTTGAAAAGTTGAGATTCGTGAACGACACCCTATTGCTGCAATACAGTTCCTATACTCCTGACCTCCATAGTAAACTGGGATGTCAGTAGAAGGGAAACTCAGAATTGCTGGCTATAGTCGTCGGACCGGGTGTGTACCCCTTAGTAGACATAAACCGGATGCATGTCGGTCAGTAGAACTGAAGGACTGCAGTAAGAGATCATGAGTAGGACAAGTAATCTCACCACAAGAAACATAACTAATTATCATCCAGGCTGTCAACAATAGATTTGTTGGTGCTCAACTTATCAAACAGATAAGGAGCCCGGGATAGAAGGTTGAAAGCCTGGGACAATGGCACTCACTACACAATGTCGGGAAGAGGGAAGATTGCTGACTCTCGGCTAACCCTGATCAGGACATTGAGTGTCGCCAGAATTTGCGCCTACAAATACTGACAACTACAACTCCCACAAGAACGAGAGACAGTGAMGATCCAGAATGTGAATCAACASAGGTGAAAGGAGTTGTGGTTTCCACCTCTCTCATGGATCGAGGGTAGGGTAGGATGAGTTCAGATTTGGTTTCCCTTTTGTCCCTTCAGATGAAGGAAAAGGGAGCAATCATCTGAGCCTCATGCCCCTCTAATCCCTGATCCGGGTCAGGATCCTTATAACGAAGGATGCTGCCCGCGCAGTCCCCAGACATACATCATCACATGCAGCCTCATCTGAAACAGCTGCAGATTCACCTACCTGAGCAGATGAAGGTGCAACACTGGGGGGAACTGCAGTCCCCAGGGTCTGTTTCAGTTTTTTGGCTGACTACCTAGGCTGGCATGTAAGGGCAGTCCTTCAAGAAGTGCTGGCCCTCACACCTCAGGCAAACCCCTCTCTCCTGTCTTCTTCTCCAGACTCCCTCCTGGATCTTGAGGTCATGCCAGGGGAGTGTGGAGGGGTTGAGAGGTTCAGCTGGCATGTGGACGTCTCGAGGCAGGTTAGGGCGCTGGGAAGAGGAAGGCCGACGTCCCTTTTCCTTCCCCTTGGTAGTGGCTGAGGCTGTGTTGGTGGAGAACTTTTTCTGCGACTTCAGAGCTCCCAATACAGCCTGAGTCACTATTGCTGCAACATCTGTCTCAGCAGCAGATCCGGTCCCCCCTGAAGGCACATCAGGCTGGGAATCGGTATCTGATGCTGAGGCAGACCCCGCATGCGTAAAGGCTGCCTTTCTCCTTCTGTTGCCTCTAGGGAAGGCACCTTTCCTCCTGTCAGAGGATGGGGCCTGGACATGGAGCTTGGCCTCCATTTCCAGGGCTGCACGGCCAAAGGACCTCCAGTCCTTGTATCCAGCGTTGTAAAGTGCAACAACAAACTTCTCAGGCGCGGCCCTGCAAAAGCTGGTCA